CTCGCTCACTCGGTCCCAGCAACCAAATAATTGCCAAAAGATAAAATTAAAACTGGTGCATACCTGATAATAATGAGTCAGGAAGATTAAAAGCATCCATGACTCTAGAAAAAGTAAGAGAATTAACTTTTTGTCTACGGGGGGCAATGGAATAGAAGAAAATTGAACGGAGTCGGCGTTTGTCAAAAAAGAGAAAAGAACCGGACATGTGTTAAATCAAGGAGTAGTCACATTAACTTTTCATAGGAAGAACTGCTAACACAAGCTTTAAAAGAGATGTCAAATATGTGAAATAGAATTAAAAGATATTCAACTGTTCTTTAATGAATATGTCATATATGATGTGGATGTGAGCCATTTAACTCCTTACTTTTTAAGTGTTTTTTTTTATAACAAACAAAGAAGGAATCAAATATATTTAATTTAAATTTTTTGATGCATGGATCCCATTAATAACCAATAAAATATAAATTAAAACTAATTTTTATTTTTTAATAGTTAATATAACTCTAGGTTCAATAAAATAATAAAATAAATATTTGACATATCTATCAGAAAATAAGAAAATTTAACATTTGTATTCAATTTGCCACGTTAGCTATCAAATAAAATTTTAACGTACCATATTTGAGATATCCTTGGGAAATGCTCTAATTGTTCGTCAGCCAAAATTTAGTTTTTTAATTGTTGAAGTCAACTTTCGTACAGGAAAATATCTGAGCTAAATCTTTTGTTTGTGGACAAAACTGGTGTTGGCTTAGGTTTTAATTTAATAAAATTCAATGATATAATGCTCAGACAATGATGTCGACATGGGTCTAATTAAACGAAATTAGTGGAAGGAATGGCCTATAATTTAAAGTGTCGTAAATGGCACTTTCAAAGTGATGAACAAGGAGCAAGGTATTAAATATCGGTAATATAGGAAATATCGGTAGTCTGAAAACACGGAAATATCGATGGAAATATCGGTAAAATATCGATATCGATAAAAATTACATGGAAACCACGGAAATTGTAAGAAAAACTTGAAAATTTTAATTGAAACTTTGCAAGATGTTTATTTAATCAATTATCTATTAGTTTATCACAAAAAATTGGAAGGAAATGCATTGCATGATGGATTTAACTGATTTAAATTGATTATATAGCAAGCTGGCAAACATTGTGAGTGTAAAAAATATGTAGTAATTAATGAAAAAAGTTTAAAGACACCACAATCATTATATACAATGAATTAGTACAATATTTTACACTTTATATATTGCATTTTTTTTTCTCTCAGATAACACACACAGACTGACACATAGCCTGGATAATTTGAAAGCAGGTTTGGATTTTTTTTTTCTTCTCTCGGATAACACACACACACCCCACTTCTACACACACACACTTCAAAGTGCACCCCACTTCTACACAGACACACGCACAGACACACTGTAACAACCCAACCCCAAATTTTTATATATTTTCGTGGTTCCCCAAATAATTATGAAATTATCGTTTTAGTCCCCTATCTTAACCAAATCTGGACCATTCAATCTTGATTTCCAAATTCTCTCAAGCTACCACATGGCAGCACCCTAGCACCCTCACGTATCTCTCTCTCTCCCACCCCGTGACCTCTTTCTCCTTCTTTCTTCTCTGCACTCACTCTCCCTCTCTCGAAGACCCTCACTCTTTCACCATTTGACCCACACCCGAGAGCACCCACGCACACCCTTCGTGGTACTCCGTCGACGGCATCGTCATCACCTTCTACACGCCGTCGTCTCTCTCTCTCTCTTTCTCTCTCTCCCGTCGCTGCGCAACTCGACGAAGCCCCAAGAACCTCCGGCGAGTTCTTCATGGGTTATGGTTAGGTAAGCCTCGAACCTCTCTTTCCGTGTTGGTTTGTTGCTTGGATGTGATTATTGAGGTTATTCTGTCCTTTTTACCAAGGATTTAGCACGGAATCAGCCTGGGAATAGGCGCACCCATCTCCGGCGAGACCGTGGGTGTCGAGAGGTTTTCCGACCACCACGGGTCGTTTCACGGCAAATGGAAGGTATAAACGCACTCCTCTCGTCTCGTGCTTTTGTTTGATACCTAGATCGGGGTCTAGAACCCTTGTTTGTGGTCGGCCGGAGCTGTAGAAGCTCCGGCGTTCTTCTCCGAGTAGCACGGTTAAAAAAATATCGCGATATTATCGATAATATCGCAATATTTTACCGAAAACCATTTGGATACCTATTTAAATATCCATTACCTGAAAAACCGATAATATCGGCGATATTTCGCCGATATTATCGATATTTTCTTCCATGACAAGGAGACAATACTCATGTTTAATTAATTAAGAATAAAATAATATGATTATTTTATGAATAATATTTGACTACTTAAAAATAAGTAAGAAATTCTACTCAAAATTTTTCAAAATTATTCGTTGTCAATTTACAGAACATTCGTGTCTATAATCAGAATCATTCATATTATAAATCACTATATAATGATCGCCTCTGCAAAAAAAAAAAAAAAAAAAAAAAAAAATTAAAACTAAGGTCTTTTAGTCATCAAACTATTTAAAAACAAATGAACGGTATTGGTAAAAGCATTATGAACCGTCTATATATTTGTTACAATATATTGACTAAACAACTTTAGTTTTAATTTATTTTTTGCAGAGATAATTTTACAGTATGATTCATAATATGAACGGTTCTTATCATAAGCACAAAACTTTATGATTAAAACACTAAGAGTTCTGAGTAGAAGCTTATACTCATCCTTGAGTAGTTAAGTATTATTCTTATTTTATTCTAGGAGTGGGTGTTGAAGTATCTCACGTTGACTGTGCTTCTAAAAAAGAAGAGTTTAAATATTCGAATTCCACTATAACAAATACCGAAATATTTTGTGATAGAATCTCACACTTGTGCAAATAATTGACCAGTTAAAAACAATAAAGACGATATCACTTTTATTAGAAGTGAACAATTAGCCCGCCTCTTTCTGATAATCTCAGAAGTGGGCATTGGGGTGACTCCCCTCAGTTTCAGACCAAACCCACCCAATTCCTTTTCAGTGGAGTAGGGTTGGGTGAAGGGAGATAAGAGACGAAGGCTCGAAGCTCCCCATCTGATATTGTTTTTTTTTTAATAAAATTTTTGTTTTAATTTAAAATTAAACAATAATAAAATAGTTGATTAAAGTAAAATACTCTGCTTGTTTTAAAGAATTAGCTTTTAGACAGCATTTTTTAAAAGCAGTATGTTAGTTGTCTTTGAAAGTTGTTTTAATGAAAAACGAAGTTGAGCTTTTAATTAATATTTCAAAGGGAAGTGTTGTTGGTATTCCAGAATTTTATTCTACATTTCTCACAAGTGTATTTTTCTTACTAATTATAAAAAATTTAGAGTGCGAAATAAGATTTTTAGCATATCAATAACAATTTTCATTTCAAATTCTGTAATACCCTTATTAATTTTCTAAAAAATCCATTGTTTAACCTTTATGCTTATTTATCCTTTGTAGAACAAAGTCAACGCTACCAGCTACTAGACCCCACAGTTTCTGACAAGACACAATGACACGACACGAAAACGACACAAAAATAACGGATTTTGGGTCAACACGATAACTAATCGGGTCATTATCGAGTGACCCGTTAAGAACCCATTATTAACGGGTTCTTAACGGGTATACACGCGAGTAACACATGAGTGACCCGTTTTGACCCATTAAGAAAAAAAATTATTTTGATAATTTTAAAGTTTAATTACTAAAAGATTTATTATAAATCTTTTAATATATACAATAGCCATATTACTAAAAGAGTTATTATCATGTTTTTATAACAGTCATATTAATATATACAATATATTCTATATTAAATATATAGTTTTGTATTATTATTCTATATAAGTTTTGAAAAAAGTTTTAGTCGTTATTTATTTTTATTATGAGAGTTTCTTATTATCATTACTAGGATAAATTTTACTTAACATGTTGTTGTCCAAAATTAAAATAAACTAGTATAGTATTTGTATGGGCAAGAACTAAGAAGACATACATACAAATATGAAAAATGTGAAATAATATATAAACACTTGTGATTCATCATTATTTATCCACGAGTAGATAATGGTTACACTTACATTATCGTTTAGATTTTTAAAATCCTCCAAACCCTCATGAAAATGTTTTTTATTTGAGGGAAAAATTAATAAAATTAATAATAATTATTGTCGAAGTGTAAAAAATGTAAAAAAAAATATACAATCCCTCATAATGACAAGCTTTACAAATTTCATGAAGGGGTCAGCTTCGAAATCCAACACTATAATCCATAAACCTTAAATTTATATTTAACCGTCGATTGTCATTTACGCTTTATTCTTGTTACTGGATTTCATTTTTAAAATTTTCTTTTTTGAAAACATGATCATCTGGCGGATGTAAGAAGATGAACGGTTCAGATCTTTAATATCACGTTTCGATATTTACGATTAACTGAAATATGAGTTGATGTCATATAGTTTGTAGAAACTTTATAAACATCAAGCAATATTTTCACTAACCGTAAAACTCTGAACATAATATTAACGATCCAAACCGTTCATCTTCTTGCATCCTCTAATAGATCATGTTTTCAAAAAACAAAATCTGAAAAAACAAAATTTGATGAGAAAAATGAAGTGTAAATGTAAACAACAATCAACGGTTAAATTTTGATCTATGATTTATATGATTATAGTGGCGAATTTTGAGGTTAAGCTCTTCACGAAAGTTGTAAAGCTTGTCATTACGAGCGTTTATATATTTTTTCTATATTTTTTAAACTTCTACATTAATTAAAAAACTATTAAAAATTTTACTTAAATAACAGCCGTCAGATAAATGAGAATAAATCTTTACCGTTAGATTCTATTTCATTTTATATTATTAAAACTTTTTTGGACAAAAAAAACCCCTTATATTTTCCATTATTTTCCAATTTTTTCCCTCTGATTTGATCAGAAGCCAACGCCCAGCCCTAAATTCTAATCCCTTTCTTTCTTCCTCTCTCCCCACTCCCGTACCCTCTTCTCCCAACCCGTCGCGACGCCGTCTATTCTTCGTTGCCTCTCTCTCCCGCTGTCTGTTCTTCCAAAAAGCTCTGATCCGACGGCCATGATCTTCTTGTCCTCCATTCATACAGCCACTTCTGTGTAAGTATTTCTCCCTCTTCAACCTTGCTCTCTCTTCACTCTTTCTACGCTGATATACGTACTTGGGTATTTTTATATCACTATATATACACATTTTCTGTGTTCTTTTCATTTGTTGAATGTTGTATCTTTATAAATCTTATGTTTTTGTTTCTTCTTTTTCATTCGAAATTACGAATTTTCATTTCTTGAAAAAAAAAACCCATGTTTTGTTTTTAAAATCTGACAATCTTTGATTAGTTCCAACATGCAGTGATTTAAGTTTGGATTATTTGACTTGTTAACTGATATGGGGATTCTGGATTTTAGCTACTAATATCAAAGCAGTATTTGAGTTCACTTTTTCTGATATGGCAATGTTTTTGTTTACTTTTTCTGATATGGGGATTTTCCGATTCTAGATTATTTGACTTGTTAACTGATATGGCAATGTTTTTGTTTACTTTTTCTGTTGAAATTTGCTCAAGGGGTATTTGAGTTTCTGCATTTCGTTTGCTGAGTGTGTTTATTGCGTGTTAAGTACATGAGTTTGATAGCTTTTAAAGTCGTAAATTTCGAAAATTACTTTATGAGTATTTTTTTTCTTCAAGTAAATTTGTAATGTTGGTAAGTGAATTACTTCTTTGTATGCTAAATATGAATAAGATAATCACCTGAGGCTTTTAGATCCGTGTTTTTGAATCTCATAAGTGCACTTAGTATGTTGTGATATTGATATTGATATGGATATTCACTCAAACGATTAGAAATCTTATATGCTAGGAATGAAATTCGTTAACATTATCAGTTTCTTATTGCGATCCTTGTGTTCTTAATTGTATAAACTTGCCACCAGTAATATGGTTTTCGGTTACAAAGATATGAAATCGTGTTTAATTCGTCATCTACTTTTGGTCTTCTTGCAATCTTGGATATTGCCATGGATGATATAGTGGGAGAAGATTTGTCACCTTTTGTTAAGCGGTGTGATTCGTGAATAATTGCTTTCTTTGATTCCCTATATTTGAGAACCATGACATATATGACATGTCCAAGCTTGTGTTTCTTGCCTACTATCACTGATTTGGGCTAATGTTTAGTTTCTTTATAAAGAAGATAAGACTTTGGAGTTTATTAACTGATGGGAATGAATGCTGTTCGGGTGATGATTGTTCACTATGATGATGCACAGTTTTGGACAAATTTACTCTGATTATATTTGGTTATCAACTAAACCGGTTACCTCTGTCTAGTATAAGATGATATGTGCTGCTCATTATATTTGGTTAATTCCAGATTTGGCCTAAAGGCTAAGTGTATTCACATCTGATGATTGTCCTTCCCTTATGCTGTTTTGCGCAGATATCGTGTTCTCTACAGCTAAATTTGATCTTGTATATATGCGTGTGCTGGTATACCTTGCAAGAGTTTGTTAGATTTTGGTGCTACATTTTTTTTGAACTCCTTGTGAATTGGTTGGATGATGATTTGGGCACGTAATGCCAAGGAATTTCATTACAAGAATATTCCTGGATGTTCTTTTCTGTTTCACCTATTCCTCACTTTTGTTTTGAAAGAAAGAAGATCAAAAAGGGAAATTACATGACAGTTTATTCAAGCTGTTTTTGATTCATGGAGGCAGGGGTATGGGTGTGAATTAAATCGATGTACACAGATTGGCTCTAATCAAATTTGAGTTTTGGGACTAGAAGATTGATTTGTGTTTTGGGAGTAGAAGATTGATTTGTGTTTTGGTTTCAAGCAATTGTGGGTTCGAGTCGAGTCCCATTGGACGTGCGAGCAACCTTTGTTTTTCACTCAAAAAAATTATTATGTTTTTTATTTGATTATTTATTAATTTAAAATATATTTTCCTTAACGAGTAACGGGTCGGATCATATTATCCATTAATATTATCGGGTCGATTTCAGGTTGGGTCATTTTACCCGTTTATATTAATAGGTGTTACACAACACGACCCGTTAAGATATCGGGTATGACACGAAAACAATACGAACACGGAAAACACGACACGAATGCCAGGTCTGCCAACTACCACTGCCAGCGTTAACCTCACACCACCATTGCTAATTGCAACTAAATAAAATATATTGATGACTCGACGAAGACATAACAACACATATATAACAACACATATATAATGACAACATAATAAGCATTTATCATTTCTTGCTTTATAAAATAAGTCCATTTTGTAAGAAACATCCGGGTACATTTGTATATTTGTTCCCCGTAATATGAGAACAAATACAAAGACTATCGCATTAATACATTTTCCAGTGATCAAATCATTAATCCGGAGGTAATTTACACAAACATACATAAACATACATAAAGATAAAACCTCTAGTTAAGTACCACAAGCAAAAACAACGCCATTATTAGCACAAACACCATTGACATATCCGTTACTAAGTGACAACTTTTTATATTAATTTTATGTTGGAGCATATATACTAGAGCATGCGCGATCGACCGTTTACTCTCTAGTGTCTTGTAATATGAACGACCCAACCCTACACAGGCAAAATGAAATTACCAGCATAGTGTTGGACATGTCAAATATATCAAAATGATATTCATCCCTCACTTATGTTGACTAAATATTAGTATTTACAGTGTTGGCCAAAAAAAAATATTAAGTTGTTATTTGAAAAAAAAATATATAAATATATATATATATATATATATAAATTTTAACAAACAATATTATATAAACTAAGTGAGCGGGCTTAGCCTCATAATGAGGAGCAATAATATAGTTAAAGATCGCATTGGCGAGAACCGAACTTAAGACATCTCAGTTATAAGTGAAGAGGAATATGCTAGAGAGACTAAATTTGTAGACAAGATTTACAAACTAAATAATGTGTCACCGATAGGAATGAACACATTTATCAACGCTTAAGTAATAATCCGATCATCAATTTTCATGACATTTAATTTACAAAATTTTATCTACAATTTTAGTTTCTCTAGCATTACTCTTGTTAAATATATTATATAGAAGATGACATAGCCAAAGGCTCACAAGCCCTTGGTTGGGTGGGTGTGTGTGTGGTGGGGATACTGGGTTTGTAATATTTAAGTGTGTTATTGTTGACCCTAAAAATTACCAAGCCTACGTGGCGCGCAGGTCGAGTAACTAATGAGCTAACTATGTTGTTCGGTTGATGCGGGGTATGCCAACTCGTTGGCCGAGCTCGATCGAGGAGTAAAATGTGTTGATGTTGCGTTGAGCGCGCGGCTGACTTCTCGATCTTGCAACTGCTACTGAGGAAGGAACACGTCTCGGCCTCTGGGTTATAGAGCTTGAAGACAAGACTGCTAGTTCCACGAAGTTCACAAATCATCGGCGTCCGATTCGGTCATGGTGATTATATTTGTAAGAGTATAAGCACACTGAATCGACACCAGACTATATGGACACAAGTATTCAAAGCAGATGTATGTTTTAATCGTAAATGTGGTTCAGCTGTCAGAATGCCGAACTCTAAATCTAACTTATGAGTATCCAATCATAAAACAACTCGGCGTTCAATGTGCCAAGCCCTAGTAAACTGTAACACCTCGCCTCGCCGAAAAGGCTAATGAGATAACCTCCGCCAATAAAGACCCAAAATTCTTTCTCGACCGAGACTTTTATAGATAATCAGTTGGCCTTGACGCAGTGCTGTTTATCCAAACTGAAGGTGCTTCGATTGGCTAATTCTACAGTGACAATGCTGTTTATCCAAACTGAGGATGTTCGTTGGTTGCCTTCACAGTGTTGTTTATCCAAACTGAAGATGTGTCGGCAAAAAAGAAAATAAAAATCTCAAGGTTGTTGAGAGGTTTCGCGTAGAGCAAGAGTTTGCGCAGAGCAGTTTGTGTGTTGGATTGGAGACCCTTTTCATTGTTTGCCGCTTTGTATTTATAGCCAAGTTTCCTTGACCACCAATCCAAAAGAGTCATTTCCCGACTATACTCCAAAAACAATATCAAAACAACTGATATTATCTTTAATATATTTCGGCAAAAATCTTTTTAGTCTCCTTATGCATGTAGACTTATACTAGAGGAGCAACATATGTCCCGTTGAAACCCTTTCACACGGCACACATACTATGATTCCATCATCAATTCTTATCACTTTAAACTCATTTGACAACACCCATCACCATGCAAAAAGGCCTAGCCTACCTAGGTTTCCTACCACATCATCACATCACCAAAAACAAAACCTAGCTTTCCTAGGTTCTCATCATCACCCTAAGCCATCCTCTTTTACCAAAAATGTCGCATGCATCCTGAATGCTGATGTTCATTTTTAATTATCACCATATTTTAAATGGATAATATCCTGACCTGCATGCTTCATTATTTGATATCGTGCATATCTGTCAACCAAAATTGATCCAAACCACATATCCACATCCACATCAATTTGAATTGTGTCGCCTGTTTCCAACATGGAGATATATTATTTCCATAAGAAAATGTGAAGATAAATCATTTTTAAAAGATAAACATGATAAAAGAAACCATAACGTTATCTTTTAACCTTACTAAAATTATCTTCACTTTTCCATCAACAGTGTGGAGGTATGCTTACTTAACGGTCTCGATTACTCAGGCCAATGGTGTAATTTTGGGTCCAAACATTGGCCCCCAGTTTCCTTGAGCTTTGAGTTTCAGCTCGTAAGCCGAATGGTTAAAGAAATTAAACTTTACAGCACTCTATAATTCTACTGGATAGAAGACTTGAAATGTCCATACTTCTCCCGAATATGAAATGGCACCTCAGCCGACTCCATTCTACCGACTTCAGATGGTGTTCGGCCAAACACCAGTAGTCTTGCCAAGTCAGACTAGTTTGATGCACAAATAAAACCACGGCACTTCGTTCGGTCGTCTTAAAAACCATTGGATACCTTCAAACAAATCGTTGAACTCGACATTCAGTGTGGCTAAGCTTAGAAAATAATTAAGCAACATATACTGAGCAGCTCGGCCAAACTCAAAAAAAAAAAAAAAAAAAAAAAAAAAAAAAAAAAACTTTTATCTTTACCAATGATGTTCTGACATAACTTGGAACTGATCATGACTCCCCACCTGCAACCACAAGTTCATAGGCTGAAACCTACTTCCTTTCTTCTCGGTAATGGCATCTTGATACATACACACACACATTGAGCCGAGGTTGAGAAGCTCAGAATGAAGGCAAGAAAAAACAAAGTGAAACACTGTTGAGCTCGATAAACACACCACTAAGATTTTTCTCGGCCGAGACTATTCCACCGAATGGGTCACGATAATACCATATTTGAGTCACATCAAATCTTTCTGCTTCACCAAACCAGTGGCCTACCTTTCAGCTATCATGTCAGGGAAAGTGGAATCATGACGTCCAGACATAATAAAAATTTGGTATTCCTTTTTTTTTTCAATCCACATTTCTCGACTCTTCGACCTACTCTCGACTTCGGCCTAATGGTTTGTTTCGGCCCCCTATTTCCTTGACCTCGGCAGTCAAAAATAAAGGTCGACCCAAAATCAGGGTGGTGTATATATATATATATACATATATATTAGGCTGGATATCTCAGCAACACAGCAAACAAACCCTTTTTTTTCTTTTCTAATGCTGGTGTACGAGGCATTGCCCCCTATGCATCGGCTTAATTAGCCAAATGATTAAGAAAATAATTTATTCCTTTTCTAAATAAAAGAAAACAAAAGTGGCCGAACTAATTAGGAAGAGGAGGCCAACGATACTTTATTCCAAGTCGAGATCTTAGGCCGAATAAAGAATTTTCTCCAAATATTTTTAACTTGACGAAATATTTTTCATTTTCGGCTATTGAATGTGTTGAACAATTACTATGCCCCCCGGGCATAATTATTTCACCAATTTCGACTTTTAACTCGAGCAACTCAACCGAACGGGACTTCTCCATATCGGCTTTATCACCAATAATCATATCGATTGCCGTGGTTTTTTTAGCTAGGCCAATGTCTTGGCCTTGTTTGTCATTGGAACACTCCTCTGACGAATCATTTTCTGAGTCAATTTTTGGCTTTAAAACTTGAACTTTTTCTTCTAGGCCTACCATAATTTCGATCCTGACCAAAAAAACAGGTGACCTAGGTTCTTCTTAGACCATCTCGACAATCTTCTTAGGCCGAATATTGGTTGTAGCTGAAGCGAAAAATTACCCCCCGGTCTTTTGATCTAACCATTCTTCAAATGGAATTGATTTGAAGCCAAGACAAAAAGACTTTTTCTTATCGAGCCACTCATAATATCGAGCTTTATCTTCATTTAACCATTGATCTTGTAAGTTGTGATGAACCTTCACCTTTTTCATTTGAAAGAAAGATTTTTGCCTTTCTTCATTCGCTTCGATGATCTAGTCAAGGCGTTTTTGTTACTCGACAATTTCCTTGAAGAGATGCCAAATCTCACTCTTTCTAAGATCTTGATATACCATGTGAACTTCGTAGTTTTAGTAGAGGTCCCACTGGGCGTGCCAAAATGTTGACCTTTAAAACTACCAAGCCTACGTGACGTGCAGGCCGAGTAACTAATAAGCTAACTACATCCTTCAGTTGATGAGGGGCATGCCAACTTATCGGTCAAGAAGTAAAATGTGTTGATGTTGCGTTGAGCGTGCGACTGATTTCTCGATCTTGCAACTGCGACCGAGGAAGAAACACGTCCAAAATGTTGACCCTAAAAACTACCAAGCTTACGTGGCGCGTAGGCTAAGTAACTAATGAGCTAACTACGTCATTCAGTTGATGCGGGGCGTGCCAACTTGTCGGCCGAGCTAGGCCAA